ATAGACTCAACACTGCACCATAGACTCAACACTGCACCATAGACTCAACACTGCACCATAGACTCAACACTGCACCATAGACTCAACACTGCACCATAGACTCAACACTGCACCATAGACTCAACACTGCACCATAGACTCAACACTGCACCATAGACTCAACACTGCACCATAGACTCAACACTGCACCATAGACTCAACACTGCACCATAGACTCAACACTGCACCATAGACTCAACACTGCACCATAGACTCAACACTGCACCATAGACTCAACACTGCACCATAGACTCAACACTGCACCATAGACTCAACACTGCACCATAGACTCAACACTGCACCATAGACTCAACACTGCACCATAGACTCAACACTGCACCATAGACTCAACACTGCACCATAGACTCAACACTGCACCATAGACTCAACACTGCACCATAGACTCAACACTGCACCATAGACTCAACACTGCACCATAGACTCAACACTGCACCATAGACTCAACACTGCACCATAGACTCAACACTGCACCATAGACTCAACACTGCACCATAGACTCAACACTGCACCATAGACTCAACACTGCACCATAGACTCAACACTGCCCATAGACTCAACACTGCACCATAGACTCAACACTGCACCATAGACTCAACACTGCACCATAGACTCAACACTGCACCATAGACTCAACACTGCACCATAGACTCAACACTGCACCATAGACTCAACACTGCACCATAGACTCAACACTGCACCATAGACTCAACACTGCACCATAGACTCAACACTGCACCATAGACTCAACACTGCACCATAGACTCAACACTGCACCATAGACTCAACACTGCCCATAGACTCAACACTGCACCATAGACTCAACACTGCACCATAGACTCAACACTGCACCATAGACTCAACACTGCACCATAGACTCAACACTGCACCATAGACTCAACACTGCACCATAGACTCAACACTGCACCATAGACTCAACACTGCACCATAGACTCAACACTGCACCATAGACTCAACACTGCACCATAGACTCAACACTGCACCATAGACTCAACACTGCACCATAGACTCAACACTGCACCATAGACTCAACACTGCACCATAGACTCAACACTGCACCATAGACTCAACACTGCACCATAGACTCAACACTGCACCATAGACTCAACACTGCACCATAGACTCAACACTGCACCATAGACTCAACACTGCACCATAGACTCAACACTGCACCATAGACTCAACACTGCACCATAGACTCAACACTGCACCATAGACTCAACACTGCACCATAGACTCAACACTGCACCATAGACTCAACACTGCACCATAGACTCAACACTGCACCATAGACTCAACACTGCACCATAGACTCAACACTGCACCATAGACTCAACACTGCACCATAGACTCAACACTGCACCATAGACTCAACACTGCACCATAGACTCAACACTGCACCATAGACTCAACACTGCACCATAGACTCAACACTGCACCATAGACTCAACACTGCACCATAGACTCAACACTGCACCATAGACTCAACACTGCACCATAGACTCAACACTGCACCATAGACTCAACACTGCACCATAGACTCAACACTGCACCATAGACTCAACACTGCACCATAGACTCAACACTGCACCATAGACTCAACACTGCACCATAGACTCAACACTGCACCATAGACTCAACACTGCACCATAGACTCAACACTGCACCATAGACTCAACACTGCACCATAGACTCAACACTGCACCATAGACTCAACACTGCACCATAGACTCAACACTGCACCATAGACTCAACACTGCACCATAGACTCAACACTGCACCATAGACTCAACACTGCACCATAGACTCAACACTGCACCATAGACTCAACACTGCACCATAGACTCAACACTGCACCATAGACTCAACACTGCACCATAGACTCAACACTGCACCATAGACTCAACACTGCACCATAGACTCAACACTGCACCATAGACTCAACACTGCCCATAGACTCAACACTGCACCATAGACTCAACACTGCTCCATAGACTCAACACTGCACCATAGACTCAACACTGCACCATAGACTCAACACTGCACCATAGACTCAACACTGCACCATAGACTCAACACTGCACCATAGACTCACCACTGCACCATAGACTCAACACTGCACCATAGACTCAACACTGCACCATAGACTCAACACTGCACCATAGACTCAACACTGCACCATAGACTCAACACTGCACCATAGACTCAACACTGCACCATAGACTCAACACTGCACCATAGACTCAACACTGCACCATAGACTCAACACTGCACCATAGACTCAACACTGCACCATAGACTCAACACTGCACCATAGACTCAACACTGCACCATAGACTCAACACTGCACCATAGACTCAACACTGCACCATAGACTCAACACTGCACCATAGACTCAACACTGCACCATAGACTCAACACTGCACCATAGACTCAACACTGCACCATAGACTCAACACTGCACCATAGACTCAACACTGCACCATAGACTCAACACTGCACCATAGACTCAACACTGCACCATAGACTCAACACTGCACCATAGACTCAACACTGCACCATAGACTCAACACTGCACCATAGACTCAACACTGCACCATAGACTCAACACTGCACCATAGACTCAACACTGCACCATAGACTCAACACTGCACCATAGACTCAACACTGCACCATAGACTCAACACTGCACCATAGACTCAACACTGCACCATAGACTCAACACTGCACCATAGACTCAACACTGCACCATAGACTCAACACTGCACCATAGACTCAACACTGCACCATAGACTCAACACTGCACCATAGACTCAACACTGCACCATAGACTCAACACTGCACCATAGACTCAACACTGCACCATAGACTCAACACTGCACCATAGACTCAACACTGCACCATAGACTCAACACTGCACCATAGACTCAACACTGCACCATAGACTCAACACTGCACCATAGACTCAACACTGCACCATAGACTCAACACTGCACCATAGACTCAACACTGCACCATAGACTCAACACTGCACCATAGACTCAACACTGCACCATAGACTCAACACTGCACCATAGACTCAACACTGCACCATAGACTCAACACTGCACCATAGACTCAACACTGCACCATAGACTCAACACTGCACCATAGACTCAACACTGCACCATAGACTCAACACTGCACCATAGACTCAACACTGCACCATAGACTCAACACTGCACCATAGACTCAACACTGCACCATAGACTCAACACTGCACCATAGACTCAACACTGCACCATAGACTCAACACTGCACCATAGACTCAACACTGCACCATAGACTCAACACTGCACCATAGACTCAACACTGCACCATAGACTCAACACTGCACCATAGACTCAACACTGCACCATAGACTCAACACTGCACCATAGACTCAACACTGCACCATAGACTCAACACTGCACCATAGACTCAACACTGCACCATAGACTCAACACTGCACCATAGACTCAACACTGCACCATAGACTCAACACTGCACCATAGACTCAACACTGCACCATAGACTCAACACTGCACCATAGACTCAACACTGCACCATAGACTCAACACTGCACCATAGACTCAACACTGCACCATAGACTCAACACTGCACCATAGACTCAACACTGCACCATAGACTCAACACTGCACCATAGACTCAACACTGCACCATAGACTCAACACTGCACCATAGACTCAACACTGCACCATAGACTCAACACTGCACCATAGACTCAACACTGCACCATAGACTCAACACTGCACCATAGACTCAACACTGCACCATAGACTCAACACTGCACCATAGACTCAACACTGCACCATAGACTCAACACTGCACCATAGACTCAACACTGCACCATAGACTCAACACTGCACCATAGACTCAACACTGCACCATAGACTCAACACTGCACCATAGACTCAACACTGCACCATAGACTCAACACTGCACCATAGACTCAACACTGCACCATAGACTCAACACTGCACCATAGACTCAACACTGCACCATAGACTCAACACTGCACCATAGACTCAACACTGCACCATAGACTCAACACTGCACCATAGACTCAACACTGCACCATAGACTC